CATTGCAATCTCGTTGACCTGAGCTCACGGTGGCAATTAAGAAGCGCAATAAATAGGCAGACACAGCCACTCGTCCGGACACAGAGACCCTGCCTCATTCCCGAAGTTATTATTATTATTGTTATTTTTATTATTATTATTATTATTATTATTATTATTATTATTATTATTATTATTATTATCATTATTATTATTACTATTGTTATTATCATTATCACCGTCATTATTATCATCATTCTTCTTATTATTATTGTTATTATTATTATTATTATTATCATTATTATTATTATTATTATTATTATCCTTATTATTACTATTATTATAATCATTATCACCGTCATTATTATTATCATTATTATTATTATCATTATTGTTATCATTATTATTATTATCATTATTATTATTATCATTATCATTATTATCATTATTATTACCATCGCCATTATTACTATTATTATCAACGCCATTATTATCATTATTATTATTATTATTATTATTATTATTATTATTATTATTATTATTATTATTATCATTATTATTATTATTACTATTATTATTATTATTATTGTTATTATTATTATTATTATTATTATTATTATTATTATTATTGTTATTACTATTATCACCGCCGTTATTATTATTATTATTATCATTATTATTTTTATTATTATTATTATTATTTTTATTATTATTATCATAGCCGCCATTATTAACATTATTATTATTATTATTATTATTATTGTTATTATTATTATTATTATTATTATCATTATTATTATTATTACTATTATTATCATTATTATTATTATTATTATTATTATCACCGCCACTGTTATTATTATTATTATTATTATTATTATTATCACCACCATTCTTCTTATTATTATTATCATTATTATTATTATTATTGTTATCATTATTGTTATTATTATCACCATTGCCATCATTTTTACTTTTATCATTATTGTTATTATATTTATTGTCATTATTTTTATTATTATTATCATTAGTTGTTATTACTATTGCTATTATCATTATCGTTATTATTCACTTACATTAACACTCTTCTCTCATTGAATCTATCTATCACCATTACCTTTCCTCTCACTCAGCCTCAGTCTCTCTCTCCCCTCACCTCTGTCATCTTCTCTCATTCTGTCCTCTCTCTCCTCATCTCCGTCGGTCATTTTCCTCATTCAGTCTTGTGTGTTTCTTTGCGTTTCCTATTTTCATTGCATTTCGCTCCTCTTCCTGCAGGCGTACTACCGCATACACGGAGGTGGACGGACTCAGTGAGCGTTATCCAATGAACCATCGGCCTCGGGGCGCTGCTCTCATCTTCGCTCATTCCGAGTTCTTAGATAAAAGTCTCAACGTAAAGTTACTTCGCAATGTCATCAAAACTTGTGTGTATGTGTATTTGTGTGTTTGTATGTGTGTATGTATGTGTGTATGTATGTATGTATGTATGTATGTATGTATGTGTGTATGTATGTATGTATGTATGTATGTATGTATGTATGTATGTATGTATGTATGTATGTATGTATGTATGTATGTATGTATGTATGTATGTATGTATGGATAGATAGATAGACATATAGATAGATAGATAAAGAAATATGTATAGGTAGAGAGACAGGTAGAGTATAGGTGTATATATAGATTGATAGATGGAGAGAGAAATTGATAGGTAGAGAGACAGGCAGACAGATATATATGACACAGATATAGATTGGTAGGTAGATAGAGGGCCCATATAGATAGATCGCTAGATCAGTAGTTTACCACTTCACCCCCTTCGGGTCTCCCTCCCTCCTCCCCCCCTCGCACATTTTAAATTGAGATGAAAACAAATATCAATTATTGTTGCTGTTACTTATATTTGGATGTATTTTAGGAAAGAAAAAAAGGGAGAAATTGTCAGAGTGAAAATAAAATGGGGGTAGTAATGAACAAAGAAATAGCAATAGAAGCAGTAAATGGCAACTATTTATGAAGGCCTAGTTTATGAACGGCAACGGTTGATTTCTATTTATAAATGACAGCTGTTTACGAGAGACTATTGTTTATGAATGGCAACGGGGTATGAGTAACTTCTGTTTGTAAATAACAGCTGTTTATGAATGACAACTGTTTATGACGGGTTAGTCTATGAACGACAACGGTTTGTGAGTGACTTCTATTTGTGAATGACAGCTGTTTACGTGACACTTCTGTTTATGAATGACAACGGTTTATGAGTGACTTCTATTTGTAAATAACTGCTGTTTATGAATGACAACTGTTTATGATGGACTAGTTTATGAACGACAACGGTTTATGAGTGATGTCTATTTATGAATGACAACTGTTTACGAGAGACCACTGAATGAATAACGTGTGTGGGATTAGTGGAGACTTTAGAGTATATTTATATATACTGTATGTTTCTTTTTGTTTTTGCATGAGCATTTTATTTTCGTTGATGGCGGTATCTCTTGTTATTTTCGCTATTTCCTTTATGAGGATGGAATTGCCAGTTAATTAAACTAAGCATTATGTATATTGATGATTTGTTCGTATATATTCACAAGAATAGGGTTTGTTTCAAAGTAGATGGACAAGTATAGTCTGACTTTAAGCAGCGGATGATCAGCCAGGATGTCTGTAGAAAAAAACTTCATTTAAGCAACAGCTCATGCAGAATATATCAACCAAATGGAGTACAGGAATTTCCGCAATTGCACAGTGGAATGGAAATGACAGATCAGAAGATAGTCACGTAATGGGTCAGGAATGATACTAAAACATTGCTGATAATACAAGAAAAGACCAATAAAACACGGACTTAATTGTAGCAGAAAATGTAGATGTGGTGTTACCGAGTTACCGTAGATTTTTACAATTAAATGGTAAACTGCCAACAGTAACTTTTAAGGAGTGCCAGGTCTCCAATACTTTGGATTAATCATTATGAAGAGGAAAACTGAAAGCTTCAGTCATTGTTTATTGACTTACTTAATATTACTTTAATCATGGGTTCTAGAATTTTCTCAGAACTGTCAAAGAAATGTTCGAGTAACTCATCGAATAACAGGTTCAGATGCACCAAGTGTGAGACTGATGACTTTTCGTCACATTTTGTCGCTCAGCCTGGCTCTCATATCTTTCTCTTCTCTTGATTGTTTTTTTTTTTTCCACACATTTTTTCATTGGTTATTTTCTTGTCCAATGAACATATTCCTATGGTTAAGAAACGCCAACTCTGTCAACAGTACTCTCTTGTTCACGTTTTCTTGAGTTAGGTCAAAAGCTATTACTCGATTCCCTGGTAAGTCAATGGGGTGCGAAGCCACGTACACACCAATGGTTAGGGGTGACCGCCTTGTGGTCTGGGTGCGACTTTCCTTTCACTTGTTTCAATATTTCACTTGATAAAAGGTAATACAGTCGTCACACCACATAGATATGGCCAAGTCACAGAAGGAACAATAAGTATTAATATATAATGACTATCTGAACCACAAGAGGCACTAAGGTATAAGTGTAGAGATTACGATTAAAGAAAGGTTAATATTTACATTACGTTATGGCAATAGCAACAGCAGAGGGTATGTGCATGTATGGATGGTCGTTTCTGAAGTTAATAATATATGCGAATAATACTCAAACACTACTGGAGGTACATAAAAAAAAAAATGTGAATTTAACTAAACCTGCTGAGAACACCGTGATGGCAAGATACTAGAGGCTAGAATTCGGCGCAGGATAGCATTAGTAGTTCATGTTTACCCTTGTCTCATGGTGTAAAAAGTTCATGAAATTGCAAGCTAAGTAAAAGGAATAGCAAGACCTAACCGTCGATTCGCATTCTTCGCCGCCATGCTGGCACCCGAGGGCCACCCGAACCACGCCCCGCTCAGCCAAGGTCTTTCCCCGCAGCCGCGACCCTCCGCCGCCCACGACGCCGAGATCGCGAGAGCCGCCTTCGAGGCCCTCGGATTCCTGCCTGAGGTGTTCTTCAACTTCACGAGGAACGAGCTCGTGGGAAAATTGCACGAAGGTTAGTCACTGACTGAACGATGTTGGAACTTATATATTTTGCACCTTTTGCTTGCCATTTTATTCTTGAACCTTTTATGTCCTTGTTGCGCTGGCCGCTCTTGTGAAAAAATGCATAGTATATGTTTCAAATTGCGCTGATTCATTGCTAATTGTCGGAAAATGAACCAGCATGCAATGATCGCGTAAAATGAACAAATAATTAAACAACTGGTTCATGCATCGTCAGTAATGCAATAGTTGTGCAGTATACACACACACACACACACACACACACACACACACACACACACACACACACACACACACACATATATATATATATATATATATATGTGTGTGTGTGTGTGTGTGTGTGTGTGTGTGTGTGTGTGTGTGTGTGTGTGTATATATATATATATATATATATATATATATATATATGATATATACATATGTATACACACATATGCAGGTACACACACACACACGGAAGCGCGCGCGCATTAGTGCATTAAAAGTCTTACATGTTGTATACAGGCAATCGGGTAATGAGTGGTCTAGCCATGGGTTCTGTAAATGTGCATATTTCACGTTGATAGAAAAAAAGATGAGTTATAAAGTAAATTAATAAGTGAAACATTGAAATAGATAGTGTGGCTTAGTGGGTTAGGACGTGAGAGTGAAAATAAGAGAGGCGAATCTTGCACGTTTCGCACAAGACATCTGTCGTGCGTACCACTTGTTTAATGGGGACCTACTAAGATCAGATCAGGAAGATGAAGTTAGCGGAAGCAGCAGTTGGAATTGAAGCTCCTGAAAGCACGGTAGACAACCTGATAGCAGAATGAAAATACGTGAAGAAAACGTAAATTTGGGGGAATCGGTGAACTCAGCCAGTTAGAGAGAATGCTGAAAAGTCTGACATGAAATCAAGGAACTCAAGGAAAAGGTGAAATAAATAGAAACCAAAAGAATCTGCAAGAAAAAGTTAATGAAGTAATCAAACTATAGGAAACTGTTAAGCAGATTGAAAGCAATTTGTCAAGCAGCCATTCTCAAGTAAAAAGGCAAGATAGATGACAGCTACATATGCAGGTGTATCGAAAGTAAAGTAAACAGATTTGAAATGATAACAAAGGTTAGAAAAAGACATCAAGATCACAAAGGAAGAAATTTAGACACAGCTTGCAGAGACGGCAAGGAAACTGATTTTAAGTCAGACCTTGGTCAACACGCAAGGAATATTGCTAATTTGACTGATGTATACAAGGACAAAATTTTACAGGGACATGAAGAAAAAGATGTAGTAGATGGAGCTGAACGACACGACGATGACAGGAAACTGATTGTCAATATTCTCAAGGCCATAAATCTCGAATTCTCGGAGCAGAATGTCATTGCTCATAGGAGGTTGAGGTTATTTGAAAAGGGAAAGAAACGTAATTTGTTTATGAATAAACAAAAAGGTACTTCATGTAAGAAAGAAAACTAAAGTCCTAACAAAGAAATACTGCAGATAAAATGGAAGAGGTAAAGAACAAACATAAACAAATGACAAAAAAAAATACCTTGCTTACTTGGAGGGTGAGAGACCTCCAAGCTTACTACTGGAACCAAAATGTAGAGACAAACATTAGTTTTGTACAGAGGAACGGCAACACATGTAGTGGATGGTATGAGAAGAAATGCATGTATATAGGTGCATAGGTTTCCTCTGTGCAAGTAAGAGGTCGGCAGAGCGATGAACAAGGGTATCCAAGGGGAGCTGTTGTCACCCTCCCATTTCGATCAGGAAATCCGAGAAAAGGACATGCTTATGAGGACAGATGGCGTTAATATATCTCAGCCAAACAATATAATGTGTATATAAATAAATTGATTAATAAATATATATATACATTTTTTTTATTTATTTATCATACACACACACATATCTGTATATATGTGTATCTATATATTCATATCCTCTCTTACAGTATATTCTTTGTCACACTTTTCATGTCAGAAATATCAAGGTCCTTTTATCACCAGAAATTTTCGCCACATTTCTATAAATGTGCACGTGATGAAAATATAACATCGATACGCACGAAATACATTTCTTGCTCTCTGAAACTATCAATTCTCTTGCTAACATTTTCTGCAATAATCGAAAGATACTATTGTTTCGTTCGCATAATGCAGTGGCGTTCTCCTACATACTTGATATATTATGCCAGTCCTTTGTCTTTTAAGATTATCACTTACACTCTTCTTGTTTTTTATTATTATTGTGTTTTTGTAATGAATGCAATAGCCTCCTACCTTTTTGCGTACCCATATGGCCGTGTTGTTTCATCGACTCTTGATTCTCCCCTAAGGTAAATGTGTTTGACAGCCCTGTCCTACAGTATAGCATAGTACATAGGTTTATACTCAAACTATTTTCTTAAGATCCAGGATTTGAAAAGGATCTGTAGAAGGACCTATATTTCTGATGAAATAATCCTAACAAGATGTACATATTTGATAAGCAATTCGTAAAATACGTTAGAAACTATTTAGATGCTTTTAGATATAGTTTGCTGCTGAAGGCATGCAAGATATTTATACTTTGAAAATTCACATGGACCTGATTAGTAAGTAACAAGCCAATTATTTACGTGTGCTAAATGTTGTGCCTGGGATATTACTGTTGTAAATTAATGAAAAGGTTAGAATTTACTACTGCGCCTCCTCTTGAGTTTTCTCCTTCCGTTCGTTCCCCCCACTATGCATTTATGTATAAAATCACCACCCAGATTTTAAAGAAAATTAAAAATATGTTTTTTTTATTGAGTATAAATTAGTCACGCTTCTTAATATTTGACTTTCGTTAAGAGAATAACACGTATAATTAGAGAAATTCCTGTTTTTCCCCAGGTCTTACATCCCCTTGGAAATTGAAGGCACTCCCTAGTTTAAGAACCACTGGGGTAGAGCCAATACTGTTCATTGGGTTTTATGAACGTGTTTCTTCATACATGTATGTGTATTGCGTATGTGTCCTTTTCTTTAAAGCATCTCTCCCCTCAGTCTCTTTCTCTTCTCTTTTTTTTTGTTTCCCTATTTGTCTCTTCATATTTTAGTCTCTCCCACTTTTATTGCAGGCTTTCCAGCCTTCACGAGTAACCGCAAGGGAATCCAAGGGAGTGTCTTCATCCACTACCTGGCCGAGAACCTCAAGAATTATGCCAACACTTCTCCACGACCAAGTCTGTCTTCCATTCTTCTCAAAGTCAGCAGGGAAGTGGCAGTCCTCTACGAAAGCGATATTGAGTCTCAAAACAAATATCACGAGAATAAACAAGTTCCTTACATCCACTCGACGCTACTTCGTGAGATTTACTTCTAGGGGTATGCCTCCTTGACAGCATGAGGCATTCGGCATTACTCTGTCTGTGTTTTTCCTCATCTTTAAAGTGATTTTAAAGGATCGATAATATTTGCTTCTTT